CTTTCAACGTTCTCGTGAAACTCATCCACGCAATCTCGAAAAGCGAACCGTTTCATCGAACAAACAGATCCCGAAATCCCAACCCTCCTCTGTTCTGGAATAAATAAAACTACTCCCTCCTCTCTCTCTCTCGCGACAAAGAACAGAGCTCTCTCGACGAAGAATGGAGAGTTGGCCGCGAACGAAGGCTTCGAACAGGATACAGGAACACGGTGAAACTCATAGAAACTCGCGTGTGGGCCAATCGGTTATTTTTTTGCGGCGCGAGAAAACGCGAGGCGATAAGACGCGTACGGTCTCTCGAACATCTAAACCGACGTAGGGGTAGGGGTGGTTCGGAATGGAATGGGGGAGGGGGGAGGGGATATGGTGTCAGGGGTGAACGAAATGGACGAGGGACGGCGTGGGATGCAGAGGGGTTGCCGGTAGTGTGTATTGATCGAGCTAGAAGAGCACCCTTCCCCCCCCTCGGCTCCGCTTCGTACTTCGTACGAACGCCCACGTACGCGGTGTTTCGCTCGTCCACGACTCTTTCTTCTTCTTCTTCTTCTTCTTCTTCTTGTATGTACATCGTCCGTTTCCACCTTCTCTCCTCATCTTCCTCTCCTCCCCTAAAGCTTCTTCCCTATCCGCGAATCTCACGTAAGGGATCACGCGACCGCGCGCTCGATTAATGGTCCACCTGCGTGTAATTCTATTTGGCGTCTCTTGCTCGAGAAAATTGATGATGGTCCGTTTTGCCTCGGCCGTCGTTGAACTCGGATTGTTGCGAGAGATGTGCGCGAATTTTGAATCGAGTCGTGATTGGTCGAGAATCTCGAGCGGTGGCGTGGCGGAATCGATCGATCGATCCCGAGTTTAACATCTTTTTCGTTGCAAGTGCTCCTGTTGTAGGTAGATTTGTCGATCGCGATTTTTTTCACTTTACGCCCCTTCGTTACGCAACTTCGCTCGCGATCGATTTAAACCGATTTTCTTTCCACGAGTTTCGAGTCCCCTCCCCTCCATCCTGCTGTTTAAACAACAAAGAAATTCCTTCCACCGCTCGAAAAGCAGTTACACCACGAGTGTCTATCGGCTACGAGATTCGATCGAACTATTTCGAACGGGGGAAATTGCGCGATTGCCAATCGAGTCACGATTTCGATGGAAAGAAAGGAGAGAGAATCGGTTTCCTTTCTTTCTCTTTACTTTTGACCAATCCCATGTTGCGTCAAACAAGGGACAGCTAATCACCCTCGATTTCATTCGGGGCCCGTTGTTCGGCAACCAGAAATTGCGAGGTTGCGTATACCGTAATCGCGGTTGCGGCACAGAACCCGCCTGGTGTAATTTACGGTTCAGCCAGGTGCGTCAGAAGTTGCTCACCTTACGACCTAATTGGGTTTAATTACAGCTCGCTGAAAGTTACGGCGGCGGCGTGAGTCCTTATACAGGGTGGCTCGTTACAATTACGAGCCGCCGACGGCTGATTTCAGTTACCGCGATCGGCCTTATTACGCCCTGTCCGCCTATGATTCCCCCCCCCCCCCTTGCCACTCTCAGTCAGGCCAACCTCTCCTGCACCTCTGCTACAATTTTCTCTCCGTCTCCTCGACACCCCCTTCCGATAACGAGGTGGTTAACAGTCGCTTCTCTGATGTGTCTGAACGTAATCAACAAGCAGGGCAAACAGAGCGGTTAATCGATCATCGAGCCCACTCTGACGCGATTCGCGCTTTGATTAGGAGGATACCAGTTGATTAGGGGGCTGCAAAGGAATCGCAAACGAGAAATTGGTGGAGAAATCTCGCGACATATCCGATTCGGTTGACTCTCTCTTTCGCGAGAAGATATCGTATTGACGGAGTAAAGTCAGAGGCGCAGCGGAGGAGAGCAAAAGCTGCGAGAATTTTCCCTCGCGCGAACAAAAGAAACTAAATATTGACGGCGGTGGCGGAAACGGCCCTCTTCAACCGCCACGAGCTGCATTTCCGCCTGGACTCGCTCTTGGACTTGCGCGCCTCGATTAAGAGAAAAGGGGGAACGTAAGAAGTCGCGGAAGAAGAGTTTTTTGGGGGAAAGCGGTGAAGGATGGATCAAGGGAAGAATCGGCCTCGACGACGATCGATAGAGAATTGCCGCAAAGGTATTCGGCTTAATCGATCGCCATCCGCGGTCCGACCGCATTTATGCGCGTTGCCTTCCTCTCTCTCTCTCTCTCTGCAACTTCTGGCGAATTTCCAACCCTTCTAGCCTTTGCTAACCCACATACTTGTTTAAAACGGTGTTATCCTCCTGGATCGCGCGAAACTTTTCACCTTCCTCTCCCTAATTTTCATTGTTTTCCAACCCAACACCGTTAATCGCTCCCTTCGCTCTCCAGCGTCTTCTTCCTCGCGTGTGTCCGTCTCTCGTCCCTTTCGTTATTCGTATTCAAAGAAGTCTTTCTTCGAAACTACGTGCGATAAAAGACGAATATCCACGATGAATCGATGCTCTTTGAGAGAACGGAGAACAGAGACTCCTTCTTCCATATATATATATATATATATATATATATTTATATATAAATTATGATTCGATATATCTCTTCGAAACGAGAGATATTCTCCAGTTTCCGGGTTTTGACAGCGGTGGTGAAACGACCTGTTTTTCGTTTCCATATTTCGAGCGATCGAAACGAGGCCGGCCGACATCGGTTCAAAGAGCCAATTAACGACGCGCACGGAGAAATTACTATGCTCGTTGGAGGCTGTAATTAACGGTTGCGTCCAATGAAACCGGGAATTAGCATTGCGCAATCCGCGACACGTGCGCGATGACGTTTCATACGTATCCCGTTTATTAGAGTTCGATGGCTAGTCGCGGATAAATGGGAGTGGGAAATTTAATATTCCGAAGCGAGCGAGAAGACCGTGACAGACCGCGTCGTCTTAAAATATGGTCGAACTCGGGAGCAGGATCAGAGGGATAAGTGTCATTCAGGGTCAGCCACCCGGTCCCCGGATAAAGGATCGAGTTTCTGGCTGTCAAAAGGGATCGCGAAACCCTCGAATAATCTATCCTTCCCTTTGCTCCCGCATCTTGATACGCGGTGAATTAATAACCTATTGCCTCTCGATAAGAAGAGATCATCCCTCGACGTGAAAAATTCAACGGTCGATACCTTTCCAATACCTTTTCCCATCGGACAGTTTGTTACCACGCGTGGTAATGGATCATGAGGAGGGAGGGAGGGAGAGAGAGAGAGAGAGAGAGAGAGAGCAGAAGAAAACGTTAAATCGGTATTTCAGCAAGAAGTGCATCAACGTCGCGCTTTTAAAGATCGAAGACCACTTTTCTCGAGCTGTATGATGGATGACCGTGATCCATATGAAATCGTATGAGGCGGCCGGTATCGAAGGCTGCAGCAAGAAAATATCGTGATGCGTCATCGTTGCGGGAAAAAAGTTCGTCGATTGAAAATAAATCATTGGAAGGGAAGATTGCTTTCTATTCGTGATCCAACGCGAGCGAGCGTGATAGATTATCGGAAAATCTTTTCGACAAACTCGAAGTAAATTTACGAATATTTATTACGACACCGATGATACTAATATTCAAAGGGAAGAATTTAAGGAAACGAAATCTCTCGAATCTCTGTAAAATGGAACAACTCGTCGGGATATTGAACAGCGTTTGAAACTCTGCGCGATCGTGGCCTCCGTTTTGAAGAAAATTGGAATCCGTGTGGCGATCCGGGATTAAAAGTTGACCGATTCGAGGTCGAAGGAGACGGCGAAGACTGGGCGGAAGGAGAGGCGAGCGGCGTTAGTCGGCAAACCGCTCGGCTAATCCCCTAATTACTTCGACATGGTTAGCGACCCTGTACTAACCACGTCGGTGCCTGGCTCCGTTCCCCGGTCGTTAATTAAAATGGCATTTCCTTGCAGCCGCGGTAATTTCCAGCCAACACGCCGCGCATAAGTCACGACGACGGTCAATCGGGCTCGTCTTCGAACGGTTCTCGATCCTTGGAAAATTTATCGCCCCACCAGATATACTCGTAATTTCTCGTTTTCGACAGAGAAGGGCCAATATTTTTTAAAATATCGCCTCGTATCGATTCTTCCAAATGGACGGTGAATTTAATTATTTGAACTGCGATAATCGTTTCTATCGGTAAGTGTTACAAATATATTTTCGTGGGAAAGTAGAATTTTTTTGGAAAACACGGTTTCGAGCATCGCGACTTCTCGATCTCATTCTCGACCGAGCTAGAAAATCGCTAGCAATCTATTCTACGAAGTGGAATCGAATTTTCTCGGGGCGAGGACGCTAAGAGTAGATGGGATTTTATCTACCAGTTTTAGGGAAACGAGGTCGATTTCCAAGAATTTCTCCTAACGAAAATTTCGTTACACTTTTTCGCAATTTGGCAGGGAAATTGAATTCCCTAGCGACCAGCTAGCTAGCACGTGGTAAACCGTGTTTTCCGAAACATTTATACGAGAAATATACTCGATTCTCGATTTATCCGCAACACCGTATCAACACTCGATTCGGGGCAAAAATATGGAGGAAATATCCGGAAAAACTTGTATACAAATACTGGCACGCGATAAACGCCACTAAATCGAAGTTTAATTATGCAAAATGCCGCCGGCCCAACAATTATCCGCTCTGATCATAATTATCCCCAGATTCGTGACTTCGTAATGATCGCATCAATAATGATAATGCGAGCACCGATGCGCTCGCTAAAAATCGCGTTCGATTTCCCGCCACTTCTACCCTCTTCTAAAATTCTCGAAACGTGTTAACGAGAAATCGATCCATCCTCCCCTCGTTGCGAAAGAAATTTACTAGACGATACGCAATAGGACCGGTAACGGAACGACTAATAACCCACGGCTCGAGAACGTGGCGTTCGAAACGCGATTTTTACACGAGAAGCAAGGGAGAACGAAACGAGCGACGTGGTCATCGACGATCGATCCCCTCCCTTAAGTAATCCGCTCGGCGACGTGCTGATTCAGGTACAGCAGCGAGGGTGTTGCGGAGTCTGCTCTGGTCGACGACACCCTCAACGGAAATCCTCGATCTTCGTCGTCATCCTCCTCGATTCTGGCCCCCGTACAGTCAGCATCCGCGGACACTGCGGTCGACGCTGCGAATCTATCCGATTCGAGAAAGTACGTACGATAGAATTGCTCTCGTCGTACCTTCCTCCTCCTCCCCCCTTTAAACTCCTTTAGATCGCTGCACACTTCTTTTTTTATTATCGAACAAACTTCTCTTGCGCTTCACGTCTTGTTCTTTGTGTAATGTTTCTTATATTTGTACCTGTATTATTATGCTATCTTCTTGATTGTTATTGTTGTTATTGTTGTTGTTGTTGTTGTTGTTACTTATTACCGCTGCTCGCTCGGCTGCCACAATCATTCGTTTACCATTGCAAGCAAGTAACCGCGAGTACCCTCCGATCGCTTGCTCCGGTCACTCGTTTCACTTGTCACATCCGAGTGATTCGATGGATTACTATTGATTTTCTAATAACAATCGCGACGCTTTTTACCGTAGGCGTACCGTTTTTTACGAACGATGCTCTCCTCGCTGCTCCGTAGGAAAACTCGGCAAACCCGAGTTGTTGTTGCTTGTCTTTCTTCCTCCCTCTATCCACCCCACCATAATGTACAATACTATCCGCAGTACTTGTTGTTGGCTCGCGTTCGCATGCAACCGGCGTAGGTTTTGAAAACGTGGGACGAAAACCGATGATCGATCGACCGATTCGAGACCAACTTCCGATCCTCGAAAAGTTCTGGTCTTGGTCTTAACCAAGAAGGGGGTAAAGTTGGTAGTAAATTGGGATCCAAGTTTTTATTATTCGATCGAAGGGTGATTAACCAGACGAAAATTCGCCATTTCCTCCAAGGGGAAAGAACACGAGTTGCAAAAATTCTGCGCTTGGCTCGTCTTCTCTCCACGGTTCTTGCATTAGAAAGTAAAAAACTAACTTTTCCTCGGATCTTTCGGCCTCGCCGATCTTTACGCCGATGGAAAGCGGCCGCGTGTCCGTCTCAACTGCCGCGTCGCTACGATTCCAAGGATTTTAGATTTTATTCGCTCACCGGGCGAGACACGCGTTGGAAACCAACTTCTTTCCGTTCAATTTCAATGTAGCCACGGTTATCACTCATCCGTTTGTCGTGCCGTTTTGTCGCCATTGTGAATTGACGAACCAGTAAAATGCAGAGAAGAGGGAAAACATGAGGCTGCGCGTGAAAACAAATATAATTGGTTCGATCGATTTGATTCGTTCCTTTCCCCCGTGGCAATTTCCATTCCCTCGTGGCAACATCGATCGGGAATTACGGGGCGCAGCGAGCAAGTTCTCGCGATGACGCGCGCAATCAAGGAGAGCGCGATTCGTCATTGTCGAGTCGCGCGATCGATAAAACTTTACGAGCCACTCGATGGCCAATTAATGGCGATCCGATTCATCATAACGCGCGAAAAGCGTAAGTAAATGTTAACGATGCCCATCCATCCATACGTACACCTCGCTTAACGCCCAATCGTCCCGCGATAAATCGTCTGCCTGCTCGATCGTTTTTGCTGCTCGATGCCCGACGTAGACAACATTGAAATTGGCTTACCTCTGCTCTCCTAATCTGCCCATCGTGTGGTATTCGCGCGACGAGAAAGAGGCGGTGTTTAGAGGCGCGGCGAGGGTATTGCGAGGGACGATGCGATAACCTTGGGACTATGGGACTATTACAGTTATTGCGAGAAAGCGGATAACGAAACGACAGAGATGGGAGGCGTTCCGCACGTGGAGGGTGGATTGAACAGCGAGCTGTACGCGGTCCCTGTGAAGCGGAGGCAGCCCAAGGATCAAAAGAACAATGCCACTTTGCAGAACAATGGCCAGGAGAAGCCTGCGGAGGTAGATACCACCGATTCCGAGGACAAAGATGAGAATCTGCCACCAGGATGGCAGAAACACGAGGGTGGGTATCCGATGGCTATGTACGAACCGTCGCGACGTAATAATTGAAATTGTACCACTACCACCTCCTACAGACGAGAACGGACCTTATTACTGGCACGTGAAAAGTGGGAATATACAGAGAGAGCCACCGGAAGCGCCGCCACATTCCAAAAGGGAGTCGCGCAGAAGTCTGATCAAGGACAACGATAGCGTAAGTAAACGTTCGAACGGAATCTATGGATTTTGTATAATTTTTTCACGAGACTCGATGCTGGCGATACAGATAAACAACTTCCACACGTTAAGCGGCATGGTCAATACCGTCACCCGCAGTAACACGAGCTCGGCCTTGGATCAAGAGTTGGAAAACAAGAGAAAAGTGGAGCTAGCTCTCAAGTGAGACACCACTGCTATCGATATCTCTCTGTAATATTCTTTCGCGCGACGCACCGCTTCACGCTCCTGGTCTCCGTGTTTCAGGCGACGAAGCTATCCCGCACGAGCGGACTCCGAGGGCAGGGACAAACCTATCAGATTCGCGGTACGATCCCTCGGCTGGACCGAAATCGCAGAGGAAGATTTGACGCCCGAGAGAAGCAGCAAGGCAGTCAACAAATGTATCGTAGACTTGTCCTTGGGAAGAAACGATCTTCTGGACGTGGTCGGGCGATGGGGCGATGTTAGTAGCCGAGATCGAACGTATCCGAATTCGAGAAACGGGATTACATTAATTGTTGGAAACTTTTCAGGGCAAAGACTTGTTCATGGATCTGGACGAAGGCGCGTTGAAACTGATAGACCCGGAGAATCTTACCGTGCTCAACACACAGCCGATACACACGGTGAGGGTGTGGGGTGTTGGCAGAGACCATTGCCGGTAAGTGAATCATTGAGAAACGTTTTAAGAAAGGTTTCTTCGATACGATTAAAAAACGATTCGTTTATGATTCGTTTCATGCCCATCCTTCTTCACCCTCGAACGATCCACCGAAACAGTGAAAGGTAAGGAGCGTTTTACCAAACCGTGGTATTTATCTCGCGATCTGCGTTGTTGTCAATGCGTCGTTCCTCTTTCAGGGACTTTGCGTACGTGGCAAGAGACCGGTCCACTCGGAAGCACATGTGCCACGTGTTCCGTTGCGACATTCCGGCGCGCACGATCGCGAACACGCTTCGCGACATTTGCAAGAAGATCATGATCGAGCGATCGCAACACCAGAATCTCGCGAAACCGGTGGACATCAACGGGCGAACAAGCCTCGCCACCAGACCGACTAATCTGCCCACCGAGCATCGACGCTTCCATAGAAACGGACAAGCGCTAGTCAGTAAGTAATCGAGGAGTGTAAGATTTCCACAGATGGAAGAGAGAGAGAGAGAGAGAGAGAGAGAGAGAGAAGGAGTAAACGTTCGTACCGTTTCAGCGCAA